TTCATATCCTTTTCTGTTAGTCTTACTACACTACCAGAAAATAAGGAAGGAAACTTTTTAAGCTTTTCTGCAGTATCAAGTTTTTGTTTTTTTCCCTAATCTGCACATGGATTTCTTAGATCTGGTCTGAGATCACCATGGTCTTTATAGTTTATAGTATGTTTAATTAAGGATTCATGGTGTGGGCTCCGGAATTAGAATAGTGTCAATTATTCTGCTCGCCCTTTCTATTGCAATCTGGCACTGTGTAATGATTTCTTTCATCTAGGCACACCCTTTTCTTTTTCTCATTCTTTTTCCATTTCTCATGGTATACCATTCTACTATTTTAAGATCTGGAGGTCTGAATTTCTTTAAGGCTTTCTCTTGAGTTTCTTAGATGATCATCAATTCGTTAATATTTCTATGTTTGGCTGTTTGTTTTTATCTTTCCTTCGAATTTATGTCTAACTTAGAATTGATTCCCACGAAAATGATTAAGGGCATGACGGGGATGTTCGACAAAAAAACGAAATTTTTTTATCAGAGAAGTAGGTTCCTCATATTTGCGGGTTCCCTTCTCATGGTCTAATATTTGACAGTTTTCTATTTGTGTTGGGATCTGCAGAAATTTTGAGGCAAGACTGTCCTAAATCAGTAATTTGAAGTTGAAACCGCATCATCTCAATGGAGTTGAACGGCAAATCCATGGTTTCAGAGCCTGCAAATGTTATTTATCTTTCAACTATTCTGGGTAGAGATGGGCAAGTTCTTGCCCACAAATGTGATTGGAAATGTGAGAATGAACATGTATGTGGTAATATGTACCGCTGCAAACTAACAGGAATCACTCACATTTGTGACAAAAACTGTGACCAACGAATTCTCTATGATAACCATAGCTCACTGTGTCGTGCAAGTGGGCAAATATTCCCACTTACACTGACAGAGGAACAAGCAATCAGAGGCATTCGCAGGAAGCTTGATGCTGACAATTCCTCCATCGATGACTTTGCTTTTAAGCGTAGGCGGGATGCCCAGTTTCATCCTTCACCTTTCGAGAGATCTTTCTCTGCTGCCGTCCCAATTTGTAGTCAAGTTGGAGATGGCATGGATATGAGCTAGATTTATATATGAAAAAGAAGGGAAACTGGGGCTTGTCTCTATGCTGTTCGTTTGAATAATTTCCTTTTTGTTCTGCCTTTGGACCGATATCATATGATGGACTTGACCTGCGGATACTTGAAGTGGTGGACCTTGTGTGCCCCACCTGTTTGTAGGAACACTTATATTTCTAATCTTGTTTAATGCAATATGTAGCTGACACTAGATTGACTATAACGAATGGGATGGAGCAGGATCGACAGGAAATTTGCATTTCTATCTAGTATTTCCTTGCCCTGCTTCTCTTCAACATAGACTATTGTAGCTTAAAGGGTGCCGTCGCATCCTTTCTTGATATATTTTTCTAATGTTATCAGCGCCTACTTTATCTACTCTGCGTATTTGTATTGCTGAAGGCATTCTTGGTATACTAGCATAGTGCTCCTATTTGTATTTATATTATCTTTACTTAATTCCAATAATATTAATCCTCTTACAACTTATTTACTCTCTATTAAGTATTATCATGGAATGGGTAGCTGAAAATGATAACTCTGCTTGGAACACCACCCATTCCCCATCCCCCTCCAAGCCCAATTTTCAAATTCCTTGACTGAAAGGCACTTGGTCCGAATTCTGTTTTGCTAGACGTGCTCTTGGCTTTGCCATCAGGTTTATGACCAGTGACGTGGGTTGCCCTAGACTATTTACATTTTTGTTATATCTGTTTGTTCCCATATTTTCATATGAGGTTGTCCTAAAGTCATTTTTAACTTTGCAGCAGGGGTCTAGTCATTCCTAATTGTGAGAGTTTAGTTGTATTTGTGACTTAATGTTCCTTGTTCTGCAATTTGATTGAATGTAATTACGGGTGTTTTGACCTTCGTCACCTTTCTTGGCAGGTGTGTGATGCCCTTTGTTAATGTGGAGAACAAGTTTACAGAACAAAATGCTGTTCAAAATGAGCCTACAAATCCTTAGGAGGTGATGGTGGCCTTTTTAAATGTGGAGAACAAAATTACGTTCAGGAGAAGCTAACAAACCCCCCCACCCCAGGTGGGAAAAGGATTGTTGAGGTAATCTTACAAGCTTACAAGCCTTCTTTACTCAATTTCATTCCTCGTTTTTTGGGCTATAACAATCAGTGTGGAGCAAAGTCACTCAAATATGGAGCTAATGATGGGGTGGAATGCAGGTTTTCTCAATCATTTGATTTGCAGGGATAATGCTTGAAATTGTATCTTTGCAGCCAAGTGAATTTTATGTTAATTTGCAGCCTGGTGTGGAGGAAAGGCACTCAAATATGGAGCTAATGATGGGATGGAATGCAGGTTTTATCAAACATTTGATTTGCAGGGATAATGCTTGAAATTGTATCTTTGCAGCCTAGTGAATTTTATGTTAATTTCGTTAAAATGCGCAAACATGGAAGACCAGACAACACACTTTGCTCATTCCTTGGTGTACTTGCTATTAATAATCAAGCTACTGGGGCGTACTTATTGTGTGAGTCATTTGTAATGAGGGAATTAATTAGCTTTTGTATTTACTGCCGGTTTGACCATTAAACTACTGCTATAAATGCGTTGCAGAAGCCCATTTTGAAGGCTATTAGTTTCTGTATTATGGACTCGGTTGAACTTGAATAAAATTCCATTAGTTTTCTCCGCTGACCTCTCCCAATTGCGACTCATCTGTCAAGCTCTTTCTTTTCTGCTGCTCAATTCTTATTCTTGTATATTGCCGTTTCTGGTCTGGACTGATTTTGCATATAGGGGCAGTGATAGTACTTTTTACCTCCTCCCCCGAGTGACTTGAGAGCATGGGATTTATGGAGTGGCGTATGGTTTTACGGCTTTGGTGGCAGAGGTGATGTATGCGGGTTCTCCACTGGATGTAGACCGTTGGCTCCCATGTACGTGAATCTAGGTACCCTAGAGACAGTGCATTACCAGGAAAATATAGAGATGTACGTATCCTTGCTTTACAAATTATAGGTTTGATAATTATTTATTTTCTCGACTGTTCTTTCATTGTCACTTTCTGCTCTATTTTGAAACTCGCAGAAAAATGAAAAAAAAAATAAATAAATAAACAAATAAAGGTGGATCAAACAGACAATGTGTGTATACAAGGAGCCACCTTCTTGTTATCTAAATGATATATTCATTCTGGTGTCTTTTTGACCTGAAGCTATCATCTTTCAAATATATCTTACTTATTTCCCAAGGCTCAAGGATCAGCTTGTCACAGTAATTGGCTATGATGATGTCAGATCGTCCTTATCAGGTTGACAGATCGAGGCTTGATGGGAATATTTCGAGCATCTAAATTTGAGATGTATTTTTCCCTCAAAAGAGAGTACCAGCCATTGGTTGATTATATTCTTTATAGAATCAATGTATAATTGGCAAAGAAAGGAATTGCTTTTCCGGGAGGACTTATAATACTAAACCTCAAGGACTCGTCTTGCGGCTGAGAATAACCTCATCCTCGTTGGTGAACAAAATTCCATCCTCTCGGAGGGAGGTTCAATCATATTCATATTAATCATCAAACATATATTCAAATAGCCCTCGCATCCCCCTCAAATCAACATACCCCGGGGCCCGGCCAACACAATCCACATTATTATGACAATTACTTCGATGGGTTTTGGCATCTTTCTTGCTGTCCTTTCTTCCTTGTCTTGTGCTCGCTCTTGCACATTCACCATCACAAACAATTGCCCGCATCCCGTATGGCCCGGTACGCTGGCTGGCGCTGGCACACCTCCACTTCCGACGACCGGATTCCGGTTGGAGTCAGGCCAAAGTGTTAGAATTCCATCCACTCCAGGATGGTCAGGACGAATATGGGCAAGGACCGGATGCAGCTTCGATCCATCGGGAATCGGCAAGTGCGAAACAGGGGACTGTGGGGGAAGGCTGGAATGCGACGGCAATGGTGCCACTCCACCTGCTTCGCTCTTTGAGATCACAGTAGGGAGTGGGGAGGAGAAAGACTTCTACGATGTCAGCATTGTGGATGGCTATAACTTGCCGCTCCTCGTCGTGCCTCGAGGTGTCTATGGACCGTGTAATGCCACAGGCTGCGCTTCAGATCTTAATTTAGGTAGGTAGTTAAACTAGCAATAATGTTTATTTAATTTTAATAATATATATCTACTAATGCAATTAATTAAACAGGTTGCCCAAAAGAGCTGCAAGTAGTACTGGGGGGGGACGGTGGACAACAAGGTCAAGGGGGAGTGGTGGCATGCAAAAGCGCTTGCGAGGCGTTCGGGCTTGACCAGTACTGCTGTAGTGGACAATTTTCAAACCCCAACACGTGCCACCCCTCTATCTACTCCACCATTTTCAAGCATGCATGTCCAAGGGCATATAGTTATGCTTACGATGATGGGACTAGCACATTTACCTGCAAAGCTTACGACTATGAAATTGTTTTTTGCCCCAGCGTCAATGGGTACGTAGCCACCAGTCTCTGAATTTCTTTTATATTTTTTTATTTTTTCATTACGACAACACATGACGACATTTTTGTGTTTTATACTTCATGGCGATGCAGAACGAAGAAAGCATCAAATGAAACAATAGCCACTCCACACATTGAAGAGCCGAGCAGTGGGGAGCTCATACATTTGGTTTCTTCATCGAACATTCTTCTACCCTTTCCTCTGGCAATTATATTCATCCTCATCAACTTACTCTCCTGATTTGCGCGGCCAAGGCCTTCTGGAATCATGATATTTCAGCAACCGGACTTGAGCCTCAGGTTGGTGAAATCAAATGGATTGCAAATTTGTATGGACTTGAGGGAATTGGGGGACAGGGCTACCAGTTTTAGTGAAATTGGTCTAAAGTTTCTTGGATGCCCGTGAATGGTGGATAACTGGGAATAAAAAATTGTAGTGCTCGGTTATAAATAGAAATGTTATTAAATAATTAATTAATTCTATTTATTTAAAACCAACTTTTTGCTTAAAAAGTGGTGAGTTGGGATTGCTGTATTAAAAATTTTAATGTTATCATACTAAATTATTTTATTTTAATAAATGTTTAATTACATTAATTTAATATATTTTTTATCAATAAAATTAAATGAAGTATATATTTTTAACAAATCAATTAATTATTATGGCAAAATAAATTTTTAGTTCATATACTTTCAAATTTAAATGGTACTCTATTTGGTCCTTCAAATTTAAAATTGACACTTTTGATTCCTAAAATTTGAAAAATAGTTGTAATGGCTCATAAATTTATAACCCTTACTCACTTTCATCCCCTTCTTGTTCCAAATGGCCATGAGATTGAGCGTGTGTGTCACTTCATTTGGTAATGAAAATGTGAAAAAGTATGTTCCATTTGAGGGTTCTGCTAGTATGAAGATCATATTCACACACAACGAGCTTTCTTAAGTGATTAATTGTCAATATAAAAGATATTAATCCAAAATTCGTCTGAACCATTAGACTTTAGTTAGTAATAGTAATATTGTAAATGTTCTATCTAAAAGTGAAAATGAAATGACTTTAGTTAGTAATAGTAATATTGTAAATGTTTGAAAATGAAATTAGTTCGAAATTCATCTTGACCCATTAGATTTACGTAAATAATCTTGTAAATGTTCCATCTAAAAGTGAAAATGTTTCACAAGGCTGCCTTACCTTGATAATTGGTTGCCGCCCGATTGGTAATGACACAAGATATAGTCTCATCCACCACTTATGGTAGAAACAATTGACCAACTAAATATTAAAATTTGAACTTCACAGCAAAAACGACATTCATTAAACTATTCAACTTCGTGTCAGAGATAAAAGGGGAGAAAAGATCCTACGTTTCACGCAAAAAATCTCATATTTCACCAAAGCAAACATAACTCAATAGTAATTGACATATATCTCCAATCAAGAATCCCCCACCCCTACCCACATGTTGTACTCAAAAAACAAAAACAAAAAAATCCCCATGTTTCAAGCCCTGTTGGTTGAAGCATCTCGTTCGTTTTGCCTCACCTCTTGCATTCTGACTCTGCCCTCCTAGGGGCCATGAGAAACAACTATTCAACCACCTTGGATTAAAAGCTTATACAGTAGAGATTTCAAGCTTCATTTCTTGCTCTTGCCATTTTTAGTTTTAAAACCTTGAACTTTCTTCCTTGCTTTCTTTGGTGCCTGCAGCTTTCCTCCAGTTCTAACGCGCTTCCGCCCCTACATTGACATTTTTGGATCATAAGCATATGCTTGTGCAACACAGGATGGGCCATTAGAGATACCAAATTCAATTGAATATTAGAGCTTCGAAACATACTGATGATTTCTCAGCTTTATTTTTTGATTTTTTGCTGAGCCCTTCTACTGCCTCATTTTGGTCGGTTGGAGAGGAAGAAACTTTAGTTATTTTCTCAGCCTCATCTTCGGAATCAAATGAGAAGCCATCCAATGTTCCTACACAAGCAAAAGATAGAATGAGAATAGAAGAAAGCAAATTTTGACCCTGTAGAAAAATCGACAAAGGTATAAATCTCAAGTCAAGAACCTTCAACCATAGTTTCAGCCTCATCAATATTGGATTCTGCCTTCAACTGTATAAAGTCATTCATGATACACTCCATCTGATCAAGTAGCATACGTCCAATTAAAGATACCAATCAAGTCATTTGCAATGGCAGTTCTTGAACATTGTATTATACCGCAAACGAAAAACAAAGAGATGCTCAAAAAGGAAAACTATGTAACCAGCCAAAAAAGAAATCAACAGCAATAAAATTCCAACGGCCTATAGTAAATACTTATATTAGGAAGGGTAGGATGGCAACTTGCCTCCCTCAAGTTGGTCGCTTTTGTAAGGAGGGTAGTTTGGGGATTTCACCTTCCCTTAGAACTTTTTTATGCTTTCAGAGTCTGTTAGGGGATGGATGTTTTTGTTTGTTTGAGAAAATAGTAGCTAGGAAGAGTACCGGGCTGGGGAGACTTTTGTATTGCCCTAGGATTTCATCTCTTGTTTTCTCACTATTTTGAATGTTTTCTCACTATTTTGAATGTCAGGCTCTTTGTAAAGGATACGTTACAACTTGGTATCAAAACAGTCACCCTGGAAAAGCTGGAGAAAATAATACAGAAGAAGTTGGAAGAAAGGATGGTTAAACATGAGGCCTCAAGCTTGAAAGGGAATGTACCGTAACTATCCCAGAGCTTTGAGAATCTGACGACAGAGATGGATGAGCCGCGGCAAGAGATGCAAAATTCCTTTGTGAACATCTTAGCTAAGATGGCGGCAAGGAAATAAAAAACAAACCCTTTCCTCAGCGGTGGATGATTCAACGACCAAAAGGAAACATACCAAAGAGGTTGGAGATTCAACGACAAAAGGAAACATACCCTAAACTCTATTTCAGCTGTGAAAAGAGGTACACAGTGGGACATTGCTCTAAAAGCAAGGAACTTCATGTCTTCCTAGTTCACAGCGACGCCACAGACACAGAGTTAGAAATGGATGACGACAGAAATTCCAACGAGGAAATCGTAGCAATGCAAGCAACAAAGGTGGGAAACATGGTAGAACTATCATTGAACACAGCAGTCTATTTCTCCACACTGATTACGATCAAGTTGAGAGGAAAAGTCGAACACGAGGATGTGTTGGTGTTAACTAACTGTGGGGCCACACAATTTCATCTCGCAGTGATTGGTGGATTTTCCCAAATTACCCTGAACAAAGATAGCCAACTAGGGAGAGCAGTAAAAGGGAAAGGGATTCGCAAGAATGTGTTACTCAATCTACGTACTTTAACAATTGTTGAAAAAATTTTGCTGCTGGATTTGGTAAGGGTATACGTGGTCCTCAGAATGCAGTGGTTACAAACATTGGGGCCAACTAGGAAGGGTTAGTGATAACCATCGTGAACGAGGAAGATCCCTCCCTGACTAAGTCAAAGTGTTACTGAAGCACCTCTCCCTGACTAATCAAGGCTTTACGGTGGAATTCATATCTTTGACAACCCAACCCGCTACCTTGGAGGAACTTGAAGCCACCACAAGTAACTCATACTCTTCCCCTATAGAAGCTCTAATCGAAGAATACCACGACATGCTCAATTTACCACAATAACTTCGTCCTAAAAGAGAAATAGACTGCGCCAAATACAACTCCAAGAAGGTCGGTCAATGGTGAATGTGAAATCATATAGATAACCCCATGTCCAGAAGGGAGAGATTGAAAGGCCGATCACTGAGATGTTAGAGGCAGGAATCATCCGACGTAATGTGAGCCCTATCGAAGTCAGTGTTGTTGGTAAAGAAGAAGGATGCAAGTTGGCACTTTTACGTCGATTACTGAGCATTGAATAACACTACCATCCCAGATAAATTCCCTATTGACGAATTGAATGGATCGCAAATTTACTCAAAGATTGATCTCAAGTCCGAATACTATTAAATCATGGTCCATTAAGAGGATGTGCAGAAGACGGCTTTTTGGACCCACAAGGGTCACTACGAATTTCTAGTTTTGTTGTTTGAACAACGTATTTTGAACGTTTTTACGTAAGTTCATCTTTGTTTTCTTTAACAATATTTTGGTCCATAGAGCAATCTTGAGCTCACACCTCCAACACTTGACCATTGTCTTTACTTACTACATAATAACTCTCGATACGCCAACTTGGGCAAATTCCACTTTGTGAAACATGGAATCGAATACTTCGGCCGTCGGGTTTTCGCAAAGGTTGTGTAGGCTGACCTAGAGAAAATTCCAACCAATCTGAGAGAGCTGCAGGGTTTTCTAGGTCTTATCGAGTATGAACGTCGCTTCGTGTCCAAGTATGGCGTCATGGCAGCCCCCTTCACACAACTGTTGAAGCGTGATCCTTTCCATTGAACAGCGCAGACGACTGAGAGGCATTTAAGAAACTCAAATGTGCCCTAATCACATTTTCGATGTTGGCCCTGTCGGACTTTAGCATTCCTTTTGTGGTGGAGACTGATGCCTTGGGGATAGGGGAGCAGTCTTTTCCCATTCCTAAAATCAACGACCCATCACCTTCTTTAGTTAGACGTTATTTATCCAGACCCAAGCCAAGTCAGTTTACGAATGCAAACTAATGGTCATAGTGTTGGCAATACAACAGTGGAGGCCATATCTCTTCGGTCATAGAGTCCTAGTACGAACGGATCAACAAGCATTGAAATTTTTGCTTGAGCAGTGGATTGTGCAATCGAAGCAACAGAAATGAGTATCTAAGTTTCTTGGATATGGCTTTTTTCCTCAATTGAAACGAAACTTTTCATTGATAAATTTAAAGAATAGTATTAGTTCTTTTTTTTTAATAGAATTTTTTTGTTTTAAGACAATAATAGTTCAAAGATAAAAACTCTCAAAAGAGTAAAAAGAAAAGGAGAAATTGCAAGGAATAAGAACACACTATGGAAAATGAAAGCATCCCAATTATTACAATTGAGGTTAGTAGAATAATTAGGAGATAACACACATAAAAAACACCACTGGAAAACTTTGAACTGGGCTAAATAGAAATATTCTGCCACAGACTTGCACTTGTTTTCCAAAATTTGAAAGTTCCTTTCAAACCATAACTCAGAAAGCAAAGCCTTGACAGCGTTAACCCATAATAACTTCGTCTAAGAGGAGGAGAAATCAAGCCCACACAAAAGCTAGTACACATTATCTTCTGCCTTTGAATCAAAAACCCAACCAATATTAAACTGCCATAGCAAGAAGAAACTCTAACTTTGCAAAGCATAATAGCAATGAAAGAATAAGTGACTAAGACATTCTCCACTGGCGATCCATAGTACACAAATAGATGGGGATGGGAGAAGAGATAAGGACGGCAATTTTTCTGGATATTTTTGCTTCTCATTTCGGACAATTAGCAATAATTTTTCTGTGGACTTCTGAAAACCTGTTTTGGGAAGCATAAAGATCGATCAATGTCCAGATTGCAACGCATTAAGGGATCAACATCGGCTTTTTGTGTTCGGGCTTTCGAATGTAAATCAGGTCTTTTATCGAGAGTTCTTCCAGGCCTTAGTCAAAGAATTTACTAAATACTAGAGTGCTGCTACAGGGAATGCTA